TTTTATCTGCGGGTCCTGATGGAGAGCGGCGCCGCCTTATTAGCGAGAACGGCGTGTTGTCTGTGTGAATGAGCAAAGTAAGCAGCGGAGGAAATTCTCTCTGGGTTCATTACTACTAAACCACCTGGGCTTTCCCTGCAACAAACACTTTGCTCAACTAATGATGTCAACAGGTCAAAGGAGGCCACTGTATATATATATACTGTATGCAATAACAGACTTCAAGGTCTAGTTAGCAGAGAACTACAGCTCTATATTATGCTTTCATTTTCTTTCTCCTGACATTTACAAAACAGGAGCATGATGTCTCAGCTTAAAACCACTCGCATTAAGTCACTGTTAAAGGTTATTTTATGGCATCTCTTCTGCACTACACTATCCAGTGCAGGAAGAAACAACCGTTAGGAGGGAAGAGCAAAATAAGCCCAAATTCAACACTACTGCTCATAAACTGACTAATTACAAGCATTTCTATTTTACTAAAAAAAAAATTCCCGTATTACCAGAATTTCCAATCTCTATAAAGCTATAGTAAAAATTTGATATACATGAGAGATACTATTTAACTCCCGTGCCTATTGTAACTCAGTACTGCAATACGGTATCCACAATTAGGCATACAACGTTTGATGCGTCGCGAGGCAATTATCCAAACATACATCAAGACATTTGTGCAACTGAAGAGTAGTAAATGCTGCTGTTATGCTACTTGGTTTGTTTACTAGCATTAAAATCAGTTAATTACGGTAGCTCTCTTGCTTTAATACACAGTCCACCTTTGTCAGGGAAATTAGTTCAGTCCACCTACATATTCAATAGAAGTATCTATAATTGGCTCCATGCTATCGACGATTGATGATCTCAAGATAAAACACTTGTTAATATTTTGTCCCACTCCTTCCACAGATCATGATCAGGCTCTGAGGGCCGAAACATTATAACTTTAGTAATCGGGCTGTTTCTCATTTTGGCAAATTGGAAAAACAGCTGGAAAAATAGTAAAATAATCTTTACATATTGCTTTAATGCAGGATATTTTAATTTTGTAGAAAACATTCTGTCTTAGGCATGACTGTGGTAAACTTTGTTTTATTCATTTTACCAATGACCTTCATAATCAATGCCAGGTCTGGCATCACTGAGTGTCCCATGCAACACAGGCAGCAGGCCAGAATCAAACAAGCCACCACAGCAGGTCTCCCTCCACCACACTGAGGCGGCAGGACACAGAGCCCAATGTAATGTGAGCGCTCCAAGGAAAAGGAAGTGAGGAAGTCTCCACAGAAGAACAGCATGGCAGCAGATGGCCTCCTAGGCTTCAACCATCTGGTGATGAGACGTCCAATCCACCATCAGCCTGTCCCCTTTCATTTACACATGATTCTTTAACAGTAAGACCTGCTCCTATTCCCCAACTGCACCTCTACAGCCATCCCCTCCAGCCTTCGGACACAGATGGAGAACATAGCCTCAGATTAAGCTTACAGTCCACTCTCCTGTCAGGGCAGCCAAAGGACCCACTGTCACGTCACATGTCACAGAGCCTAATCAATGAGTGTTAAACCTTTATATGCCATTCTCTGGCCAGCCAGGAGATTATCATCTATCCCTGTGTTAGGCCTGCTCCCAGCATGGCTTACTTTAAATAGCAATATGCTGATTGCATTGCTGTCTGTGTGGCTGCCTATTCAGTAGGGGCTTTCAGGCAATCTAGGCTTTATGTTGGAATAATTCCAGAGATGCAGCCCTTAAGCTGCAAAACTGTACTTAGAAACAGAATTCTCATCGCTTTCTTTCCCAGTGCTACCGTCTGAATTTCCTCCCCCTCTCCAATTCACCAGTCTTTAATTACATAGGCTTGATTTATTCTTTTTTAGGACATGCCGCACATGACGTACACATACAAATGCACACATACAATGCTACAATTTGGACCAATATGTAACAGTATATACTCAATAAATCGTGTGGAAATGGCATGAACAACAAAAAGTGTCTCAGGGTCAAGAGGGTACTGATAGATCATTTGCTCAAAGAAATATGGTAATAAAGGGACACGTAAAGATAGAAATCGAGGGCGTTAATGTGTGTGTTGTCTGACTTATAGTTAATCTATAACTTCATTTAGGAGACAGGAGCTTCAGGGACAAAGACACACACACACACACACACGACAAATGATCTACAGCTCCCTCCACCAAACACAGACTCATTCTTATCTGTTGATTTGCTGCTTCGTGCAAAACACATTGCATCATTAGCAGGTGTGCTCAGGTAGTAATATATACACTGCAGAATTAGCAACACATCTGCTAATTATTGGAAGGCGAACAAAAGAATTCCCCTCCCCTTTCTTTAATTTAGTCCAGTTACTTCAAGGTTTAAGATGTGATAGGCATTGTTTTTTGGGTCTTGTTTTACACAAACACACAAGAAAACTGCAGATTCATCAGTAATCTCCATCATTCAGTTGCAGCGTAATGAGCAACAATCATTAAGTTATTTCTTAAGGAGAAAGTTTCCAGTTTCAGTTCTCACATTTGATTCGCTATTACTATTATTATTAAATATTTTGTTTGCCTTCTATGAGAGTAAATTTCATTAGTTGTGATTTGGACTCCTGGTCAGACAATCTAACACAGTCACAACATGCTGATTCAATCACTGCTGTAATAGCTGCTGATTCAAATGCATCAAAGCAACAATACTGAATCAAGTGTAGGAGATTGGATTTATCAGCCTTCCATAGTTTTGATTTTTCACTGCTGCTCAGGTATTGCAAAAAGGAATTTTAAGATTTTTTTTTTTTTTTTTTTTTATACAAGCAACATTTGATTACCCCGAAACTAATTGGAATGACAAAGGCAGCCAATGTAGTTTCAAGGAAGTCCTGTGGGATAAAATTTCATAGAAGCCATTTGTGCCCTCCTTCTTAAAAAGGTATTTAGCTGACAAGTGACACCACTGCTTAGCACTGAGTGAACATAGAAAAGAAAAAGGGAACTTTTGTGCCTGTGAGTAGGTGGGAACTCCTGCTTTGGCCTGGCTGCCATGCTTGTCACAGATCCACTGCATGGGTCAGTTTCATGACACAACACAGCTGAGTCCTTTGAAACCGGCTGGGTGAGTACACCAAACTGGCGAAAGGAAGTCAGGACTGTTGAACTGGTTTCTTACGCATTAAAATACTGAGGAAAAGCAATCACTTTGGTATGGGGTGGTACTCATTACATAATTGAGCATTTATGCAGCTAGTGATTCACGCCTCACATCATAGTTTCCATAAATCCAAGTTTTGTGTGTTACAAGTGGAAGAATTCCTAAAATAAATAAATGAATAAATAAGTGATCTAGAATGAGGTTTAAGTCTGAAAAGTTTTCCCTTTTTTGTGTGAAATTAAAACAATCCAGCTGCTTGGAAAGCATAGACAGGGATATATGTAGATGTGCAGAAAGAGGGAGAGATGGTGATTGCATAACTGTGGCAGTGAGCCACAGAATCAACATTCATACCACAGTATAGAGGCAAAATACTGTACGGTACCATGTAAAACTACTGTGGGAGTACACGCCACTACTTCCAGTACTGTGGACAACACACATACGTACAAATACACACTTCCACAAGTACCACCATCTCTCCTCATTAGTGGGCAGTGTTGACTCTGACACCTCCATATCATAACCCTCTCCAAACCATATTCCTATCCTGAAGAAAAGGAAGAAGCGGAGCACTCAAGAATGATCCTTTTGAAATTCTGCTCATAAATAAAACATAAATCCATAATTATAAATATGGCATCAACCCCCCACCGCACACACACATATACACACATCTGAATAGTCTCACTGACAGTCCAGCAAGAGTCACCTCATTAATTTCCCCACATTGCAACACAATCTGGCAATAAAACAGAGGTGATCTTCTCACAACCTGGCGCTTGAAATCAGCGATATTTAGAATTAAATGTATTTGAGGGCTGACAGGTGAAACGGGCAGCTCTGGGGGCATATTTGCCGTCTTTTCGCCGCACAAACACATTTTTAGTCAGCGCAGGTGTCATGAGAGGCGCTCTGAAGGGCAGCGCTTTCTGGATTACTCACCCCATTGCCGCGGACTTGAGGAACAACTCCTTATTTTTTTCTTTAATCTGAAGGTTATGTATTGGCTGGGTTGAGAGGAAAAATAATGTTTCAAAAGCGCAGTCCGTAGATGATTAGCGGTCCAAAGAGTTCATAACCCCGTGTGCCAGCTCCGAACAAGTCCTCTTGCCGCTGAGAGACAGCTGAGATATGGGGGAGAGAGAGAGCAGTTCTTCGCAAACTCGACTCACCGGGCTGTCAAGCTCAGTCTCACAGAAGCCCGTTCAATTCAGGAAGTTTTTTCCTCCTCTCCTCCTTTGTTTTTCCTGTTCACATGGGCGGGTGTGAATCCCACCTTGGCGTGGCTTCTCCCTCGCCGCCTTCAAACAATCGGCGCTGGTGAGTTAAGTTAATGTTTGCATTTCGCTGCTCTACGCTGAGCTTCTTCCTCCACAACGGGCTGTTTCATATCAACGGCAGCAGCAGCGACACGGGGCGGCTTCCACCTGCTTTCTCCTTTCAGCCACCCACTGTTTCCTAAACCTGTCATATCTGTGGTGGCGTCTGCGGTTTTAGATGGACTTTCAGGCCAGACTGGAGTTTTTTAGTCATAAACAAAAAAAAAATAAAATAATTTTCAGTTAAACCCGACGGTTTTTTAAATAAAAAATAAAAATCTGATGCACTTACATGTTTCCATTCACTGTGCTGGCTTCCACCAGTTTGCCCTTTCTCCCAAATTAAGCGGAATAACTGTTAAAGCAAACTTCGCTACGCCACTTATTAGCATGTAATTGTGTCAATTAATAGGTCTTGAATCTTTTCATAATGGTTGTTGGACTTTTTTCTTCTATCCCCTAACTGCCAGGTAACGTTCATTAATCTCTGGCAGGTGCGCGCGCTCCCAGAACCGTTAAAATTGGTAGAGGTTTGTTCCGGGGGGGGAAGGATTTCAGCGACGTACGACACTGAAATTTCAGAAGTGGAAAGTGTCGCTAAAGCTAACGACGTACTTGTCACATTAAGGTATTTTTTCAAAGCCAGAGATGTAACTGTTTTTAATCTAGTTTTATTTTTCGTTGTTTATATGTTGGATAACTACTATTACTGTCCAGAATAGTTATCTTATTGGGAACACGCGGTTTAGCAAGACCAACAGGGAATACAAACACGACGCCGCGATAGCAGCTTTTCTGTGATATTAAGTATTTCAATAATTTGTGTGCTCACAGAATGACCGAAACTGCGGAAACCCAGCAGAACTACGAGGAGATGTTCGCACACAGGTTCTCCTCGGAGGATCAGGAGTACCAGGAGTACTTAAACCGTCCTGCAGACCGCCCTCCCATCGTGGAGGACTGGAGTAGTCGTGGGGGAGGAAACCAGAGAGGCAGAGATAACCGGTAGGGCTGCTTATTGATTTCATTTTGTCATTGCGAAACTGCTAACGATTGAGAGAAGCGATAATGATAGAAACACCGCTGTAATGTAGGTGATAAGCGTTAGAAAATATTAAGGAGAATTCCCCTAACCATCGTGTAGCTGGGATAAGGGATGAGAGATTCTGTTTAGATGCTCTGAACCAGTAAAGAAGAATGCAAAAGACTTCTCATTAAGTAAGGCAGTTTTCCACTGAAAAATGACAGCAAGATAGTCAGAGGGGTGAAACTGTCCTTAAAGATCAGTATTCCACTATACCATTGATCTGGACAGTGTACTATGAAGTACGTTCGAGATACCGCTGATATATTTTGAAAGGCATGGCACTGGCAGCATCTACCCAGTCGCAAGCCCCCCCAACCAACCAACCACACAGGACTCCAATGATCTGTGTGACTGTGAACCAACACAGACTCATTTATTCTGCCCTTCACCCAGGACCAGTTTGCAACTTGGAGCAAATTACTTGAGACAGCACACAAACTCCTCCCCTGTTATAAGGTGGTGATTTGTGGAGTGGTGAAAAAGAACTTCCTCCATCCTGAGAGAGAGGATGAAAGCTCGATCATTCAGGTGGTGCACAGAATAAAGCCGCTACTTTCACACATATCAAAAGGAGCCAGTTGTGGTGATTCAACCATCTGACTAGTTTCCCTCCTAGGTGAGGTGTTTAGAGCATGTCCTACAGAGGAGTTTCCAGGGCCAACCCAGGACAAGTAATTTCTTTAGTCATTTCAAGACTTTGTCTCTCAGCTGGCTTGGGAACACCTTAGTGTCGCAGCACAAGGGCTAGAGGAGGTGACTTAAAAAAAGGGAGGTCTGGGCATATCTGTTTAAACTCCTCCAGGAGCCACAAAAGAATGCTGATGAAAATGAGGGCTCTGTAAATTATAAGTCTGCTGTAACGAATACATCTGATGGATTACAATTGTTATGCAATGAAATTAATGTAGTGTCTGTAAGATGGTTTTAGTTTCGTTTGTAATTCAGATGCAAGCTTTGTCTGTGAGCAAATTTGATGTAAGGTTCATAAATGTGTTGTGTGACCCCATTAATAATTGTGTACTGAAATTCTCCAATATTTGTAGAAAATGGCACACACACAAAAATCAAGGAATAAGGCTAGATCTCAAAATCTGTGTTTTATGCTCTTAAGAAAACTTGGCCCCAATACAGTCTGCCCACAGAGGTCAGAGGGATCTTCCAGGAATGTTGACGCTATTTTCCAGAGAACCGATTAATCCATAGGTGGTAATTTTGGACCTGTTAATATCTAATCTGGAGCATAGCCTGCAGGTTAGGTTGGTAGAATAAGTTGCCATGGCGATGTACCCCAGTAAGAAGTGAACTGCCTTCATAAAACTGAAATCCCAGCATTAACACGGAAGTTTCTGGAGGAGTTTCCTGGTATTTTTACCTTCTTGTAAATGAGAAATCTATTTTTAAATTGTGATGAGAGATTAGAGAAACCCAGTAAGCACGACTCGCAATACCATAGTAGTTTATGAGGACAACTTAAGCTAATGTCTATCAATCACTGCCTGTTGTTTGTTAATTTTATGTCATCATCAAGGTACCATGACCGTGGTCACAGAGGACGTGGATGGGGAGGAGACCGCGGTTGGAGACGAGATGATCGTGGACAGCAACATTGGCACGACAGAAACCGAGACAGAGAGCGAGACCGAGACAGAGACCGGCACTGGGGTCATGGAAGTGGGTCTTATTCAGGGCGGCCAAGCTCCAACCAGGGATACGTCTCCCATCAGAGACCACATCATGATCGCTACTGATCTCTTTTGTAATCTCTCAGGTGTTACAAGTGTTTAAAGTATTTGTAGTCTTTCAGCTCACATTGTAGTACTATATGCAGGAGTGTGCAACTAATATTTCTTTCAGTGATTCAAGATGAGCAATGTATAAACAAAAAAAGTCTTTTGTGTTTATCATTTTATTTTTGATGCACTGATTTTTACTCTCCAAATTAAAATTCCTGGCAGGTAAATGGGACTGTGTGAATCTGCTGGACTTCCACTTAGCCCCCCCCCCCCCTCGTCATACCTAACCACAGTACTGTTTTCCCATGTTATTTCACACTGCTCAGCCCTGTTGTCATATTTGGATGTCTTAACAGGAGATAGATTTGCAGTATTCTGCAGTGGAGCTCACACTGACACTGAAAATGACTGTTTCTCTCGGGTTTGTGGGCTGCCGTATAATTTCATTAGCACATTATTGCTCTGAAATTTCACAGGAGCATTGTTTTGTTTATTTTCTGCTACGGTTTTATATGCTTTGGTATAAAATTGTGTGGTACAGTGTTGTAACAAACACTAAACCAGAATTTGCAGCGAAAACGTGTAAGCAACACAGCTTCAGTTTTCTGTGTCAGAATGTTATGCAAGGACATGTAGACTTAAGAACTAATCTGCTGTCAATAAACTAAATTTAAAAAACAAACAAGAGATTTCTGGAGGGGGGGGTTGAGTTATGTAGTTTGATATTTTTATTTTTTTTTAATAAAGAGTCTTGTTCCCAGCAGAAACAGTTGCTAATAATTTATTGGAGATAATTTATAGGGATGTCTAAAAGTTCAAAAATTGATAAGATCAGATATTGGCCTTTGGTCTGTTTGCATTAAACATATTTCATTTTTCTACCGTATGCTATTTTGTTATTTTCTTTCTTTCATTTAGTCGCACTAAGCTGATTCAGGTTGTAACACCAAAGAATCACTGACCTTGTGTTACATACCATATAAATAGTAGTTTTTCATAATGTGTGTGTGTGTGTGTATACACGCACACACCCGTTCAGCTATCTTAGTGAGGACCATCTTGTTCTTTTTTCCTGAGGTAGTTGTGTTGTAGCTTGGACTTATGTTTTGGGTCATTATCTTGCTGTGGGATGAACCCATAACCAACTAGGTGCATACCACAGGGCATTGCATGGTGCTGCAAAATGATATGGTAGCAGTTTTGGTTCAGGGTGCCTCTCACTTCGTACAAGTGACTGACCCTGGATCCAGCAAAACAGCCCCAGGCCATCACACGTCATTCTCCATGTTTGACAGTTGATGCAACACACATCCTTTCTCCTACCCGACAGCATACAAAGATCCTGCATGATGACCCAAAGATTTCACATTTTGATTCATCAGTCCTTAATACCATCTTCCAGTCTTCAATAGTCCAATGGACAATCAAATCTTTTTATCAGTTCTGAAACAAATGAGCAACCCAGTGTAGGATAATCAGAAAGTAATGGGTTCATGCTTCATGCTGGGTTCATGACCTTTGTTAAAGATTAGCTCACATTTTAACACTAAATAAGCGAAACCTTACTGCAAAATTCCTCAATAAGTGGTCCAGGCTTATATCTTTATTGTATTCAAACACATTTCAAAATAACCCAATCAGTATATTCCAGGAATTTTGATTTTGGGACCACTGTGAATTTGCTAAACCAATATTGAGATGGCTTTGGACACATTAGCTGTCTCTCCAGCGAAGCAGCAAGCAAATCGCCGCACTGTTTCATCACTGCCTGGATTCAGTTCTGTGCTTTCTATTTATGGACCTGGTAAAGACAGGGTTAACAGTTCATTTGAACTTCAGCAGTGCAATCAGCTGTGATGATAAGCGAGGGAGGGAGGAAGGAGGTTAGGCCGTAAGTGCGTGGGGGATGTGCTGAAACTGGCACACTGTGGAGAACGCTGCCATCACCACTGTAATCAGTTTAGATTAGAGAGTTGTCACCCGAGACTGCTGTGTCTTCACAGCACAGCGATGTCTTGTGCAGAGTAGATCAGTAAGTAAAGTAGGGGTTTATTTACAGAGAAATATCTAAAAATTCCAGACTTGTGTTTACGTGGCACAGGGAAGGAGTGTAGATATTCCCATCTTTCACGGTCATTTCACTTTCTTTGTTATCAGTGCTTTGGCAAATCATAAAAGTATAATCTGAGGAGAGTTTACAAATCAAGGTCAGCAGATTTATATGCAGTATTATAAAGAGAAACCCAAAACATCACCACCCAGCAAGCACTTGGCAAACAGTGGGCAGTAAGAAACTTCAGTCATAACTAAATTCAGGCTGGGCGGCCGGCTGTCTTGACCATTTGGGGTGAGCGGAGAGAGAAAGGATGAGCGCTGAAAAACAATAAACACTGAGCAGATTGGTGGTGCCAGTAAACAAAAGATCAGGAACACACAGCTCCAGAACCAGACGCACAGGCTCTGGAAAGAGAGGGGACAATGCAAAAACTATCCAAAGTGAATGACCTGCAATAGTCGTCAATCAAATTAATTTACATTGAACGAGAAGAGAGCAAAGCCAAGATGATAGGTGCACTGTGGGAGGTCCCACAAAAGAAGGGCCTATAGCATCATAAAAAAGGATTTTTCAGGGAACCACCTCTTATTATAGGTTTTCATCAAAAAGGAAAGTTTTAAGCCTACATGGAAACACAGTATATATGACAAAAACATTATATTGAATTATATGCAATATTATAAAGAGAAACCCACCCACACTCAGCAAGCACTTGGCAAACAGTGGGGAGTATGAAACTTCAGACAGAACTAAATTCAGGCAGCAGCCGGCTCCCTTGACCATTTCGGAAGGTCGAAACAGAGTTTTCACAATTTCAATAATCTTGAAAGTGTTAAAGCATGGGTGTCAAACATAAGGCCCAGTTGCCAAAATTTAGCTCTCCAGAGACTCCAGTTTGGCCCACTGTACAGCTTTGAAAATGAAAGGAGCATACAACACATATAGCTCATTAATTGATGTACTTTGTAAACTGGTACTACTGAAGTTTACTATGGTCACAGTGAACAAACACTTCCCAGTGTCTCAAGTTATTACAAGAGTAAGCTAAAGTCATATTTCTTATGGTTTGTCCCTGCTAATAGCACGACTCTCTGGATGGCATTGCTGGCAAAGACTCTATAAGGACCCACACAGTGTTGTTCACTCTGTCATCAGTCTGGATGGATAGTGCCTGCATTTTATAGAGGATATATGATACAGAATTTGGTGTTTTCCCCTGACATTTCCTTCTCTAACACTAATGATAGTTTTTGCTTTTCATGGATTGTCAAAAAAGTGGGTCTTCGTGCTCGAATCCTGCTTTGAATGTGTTTAGCTTACGTAGTATAGAATTTGGTGCTGATATTAACACATCACATCAGAAGGACTGCCTGTCAGATTGAGATGAACTGACATCCCCTTTGAAATCCTCAGAAACTAGACTCAACATAAAGTTCACACAGCTAGAAAGATTAATCCAAAGGTCAGCATGTTAATCCGGTCCTTTGTGTGACACAGAGTGTTGACTGTACTATCCCTTAGCCAACACATTCATTGCACTCATCTCTTAATGCAGCATAAAGCATCTGGTTAAGCAGTTTTTGCCACATTAAGAAAATAAATGTGCTGCTTACTGTTATTTCTTTGACTACCAGGTGGAGACCTTTTGAATCCCCCTCTAATCAATCCCATCATGTTTTAATTGCAATTATTACGCTGGTAATGCATGATGAGACTTGGAGATTGTAAGAAAAGGAAAACAATAGAGAGAGCCACAGTGAGGGACCGACAAGAATATGCCCTCGGTGTGGTCTGCCGGGCTGTCAGGCTTCATGTGGCCTGTTTGTGACGATGCAATGTGACAGCAATGGAGACAGTGCGCTGGGGGCCATGTCCTTGATGATGAACTCATCCACTACAATCATCACTCTGCCCCCCCTCCTCTTGGAAGAGCATGCACACATGCGCTTGTGCGCACAATACACTACAGCCTCCCCGGAAACACGCACAAACACGCAGGATCCCCCAGCCCCCGGAGCACTCGGCGACCTACATCTGGTGTTGGAGAGTGCAGGGGCTAAGGTTGGTCCGGGCCAGCCAGCCCCCAGCAGACAGTGCAGAGTGTTCGTGTAGCGAGTAGCGTGTGTAAATGGCAAAGCGCTCCTGCTCTGCTCTTTTGTGTTGAAATGAATGCCTCCAGCATTCAAACAACACTGTGCACAAGTGTACCTTGTGTGCACGAGCACACGTGCAGCTAGAAGCCACGTGATCATATATGCACTTAATTAACAATTAAGAATAGGTCGCAAAGTGAGGTTTGAATGCACCCTGGTGCTTTGCTCATCCGAATGCACACTCTGTAACTTAATCATGCAGCTGCCCAGGTCATCCATGTGAAGACGGTGGACTGTGGTGCAGAGGAGCGCTTGTTAGTCTGATTATATCAGGTGGTACTCTAGTGGCACACATAGACAGCTCTAGGAATACTTGGTGGAAGAAGCATTCAGACCTGATCCTTTACTAACCTGGTGAGAGATGTATTCAGTAGTGGATGTGAAACATAACAAGAAGCAGCTTTGGTGCCACTTTTTGCAAGCAACCATAGGCCAAAAAGGTTTCTCATGAATTAAAAGCTGATGCTGTTATTATCAAATTCAGCATATGTAGTAGAAAGCCCAAATTGTAAATTCCCATGTTATAAATAAAATGCAGGTCATGAAAATTCAATGTATTTCTTCTCTCATGGGAATACAGACAGAAATGGCTTTTCTCTTGTTACCAAAGATGGCTCAATCTTCCAAAACCTTAGATGCTCCGCTCAGTCCATCTGTGTCTTCCTCATGCAAACCAGTGATTGGCCGAGGGACAGGCTGACACACAGAACTACACCGAAAGCCTTTTCATTGCAGTAAAGATGCTGGTTTGTAATTGATGTTGATCAAAAATGCAACATCTGAGCCATCTGTTTTTCTTGTCTCATTCAGGGTAAGGACATTCTCAGATTCAGCAGTCTGCGAAATGGGAACGATTTTCCCTCATTCTTCAACCTGCCCTGTGCTTACTGCCGTCTAGGCTGCAATTACCCTTCAAGATGACAACCATCAGCGTCCTACAGAGCAGCACATCGAACCACTGCTGATAATTTACATTGTTGAATATTAATAAAAGTCAGATTCAAGAGGGAAAGGTGCAGATTTTTTGTGAATAGAGAAAATGTCCCTTTGTTTATAACCAGTTGCCCAAACAGCTAAATGTAGGAAATATGCCTTTGTTTATCCTTTTCCTGATTGACTGTGAATGAAATACTTATAAAATGAGTCAAAATTTTAAAAGCACATGGTAGAAATGCACAGTTATAAATAAATAAATAAATATGGATTTATTTTATCGAGCTACTTCAGTCTCTGATTCTTGGTGTTGTGCATGCTGCTGCACTCCATCATTTTAGCTACGTAAATAAAAGGGTGCCATCTTTATTCTTATGAGTGACACTCTTAATTTTCCTCCACTGTTGAATATGCAAAGGGAAAAAAACTTAACATAAAATTTCAAGAAAAATCTGATGATGAAGGCGACAAGTCCGAAATGAAGGCATGAATGGTGGAGATGCCACAATGAATTTGTGAAATTGAGAGTTTTGTGTACATTTTTTACTTTCAGTACTCACTGTTAGAACTAACTGATTTTTTTTTAGCACCACAAGTGAAGGCACATGCCTATGACAGTTTTTTTTTCTTCCACTTTCATCAATAAGTCAAACATTTGGCTTAATAGCTCCAATATTTGTGAGGTACCCTCTAAATGATGTAAATGTTTGGGTTGGTCTGGGACTTACAAACTTGAATTGTTGA